GCCTGTCCTCTACTGCAAGCTTTCCCTACTCTGGAGTTGAAATCGCCCACCATGACAACTTCTCCCTTCCTACTGAACTTCTGGACATCTTCCCCAATTTGTCCGAAGTTCTCCTGCGCCTTGCTTGCGACTTTCTTCGACGACGGTGGGACGTATACGTTCCCTAGAAACAAATCTTTCTCACCCCGCTCCCCAGGTATCTTAAGCCATAGGCTTTCCTCGAACTCCGTTTTCATCACTACTTCCACCACGTCATACAAGTGTTCCTTGACCAGGAATCCGACTCCCCCCTCCCCCCTTTTCTTCGGGTCTAAGCCCTTTCTTGCCTTCCCTACCCACCGGTACTTCCCTATTTTGCTTACCACGTCCCCATCCTTCAGTTCCCACGTCTCTTGGATCCCCACTACATCCAGATCGCTTTGTTCTACTTGGTCCACTATTTCCAACCGCTTGCGCTCACTCCTTGCGAACCCGCACACGTTCCACGACCCCACTCTCAGCTTGTGCTTTTCCCTATTGGAGATTTTGCGCACTCTATCCTTCGCCTTCCGCTTCTTCTCGGCGTTCTTCTGGTTTGCCTGCTCGTCTCCCCCGCCCGGTCTCTTCTTCGCCTCTATCGCCCTCGTCTCCTGTCGCCTTACCTTCTCTGTTCCTATCATGTTCGCGACGCAAACCCTCCATCCAAACTTCCTTACGTAGTTCGACAGCTTCTCGATGTCAACCCCCAAGCACTCTTGGCTGTCTCCCTTGGTCAATTTCACCCGGAAATGTTCATGACCCGGGGGGGGGGGGGTAATGAATGGAAGCTTCCGCCTCGTAGCGCGTTGATCGAGGGTTCTTAAATGCATGCAACTCAGCTTTTTTTTCTTCCCCCCCTTCTTGGCATATTATGGTGCCAGGCGGTGGTGATACATAATTTTAATGTATTTTTTGTTGCATAACACATTCTCTGTAGTTGATGAGGGCGCTGTTGGCGTTCATCGCCGGGATCATTTGATCAGGAGGTGTATCACGTCCCCGGTTATCACCTGTGCCCCGTAGCACAAGTACCAATACCCTGCAAATGCGGGAGAAGGCACGGTAGGTAATTCTTTTCTGGCGCTAACACACCCCTTCGTTACCACACCCCTTCGGCCCCTAGTGTGCGGCAGTGGTATCACATCCCCTGAATATCACACCCCTGGTTATCACACCCTCTGGGTAGCACAGCCCTTTTCGGTCCCTGCAAGTGTGTGGCAGGGGTATGACACCCCCTGAATATCACCCCCCCTTCATGGCTCCAACGGCCGCACTTTATCACCCGGACTACATAAGATATCACACCCCACACAGAATACAACACCCGGTGATAATAGTTTTAAACCCCAAAATGTTATCCCCGGTGTGTGATTTCGTGTGTCGTATACGGTAAGCGAGGCATCACAACAGCTTAAGCTACAACTGGAATACCAAGCGGAGCGATTCGACGAAGGAAAGGAGAAAGAGGTGGGCATCGGTTTGGCAGCAGGAGCACCAACCTGTGCGGGATCCAAAACGTGACGACAGAACTCCGCGGACAAGCTCCGTACGACACCCACCTGAAGAGTTGCGCCGCGAGCACATGACGGCTTCCTGTTCGTCTCCACTTGGTTGGCATTAACTTCACAGGTTTTGATGTTGCCACGGTCCCACCGCTCACACCCTGGGGTATGGAGGGGACAGGGATAGGCCACGGCCAAGAGATCGCACGAACTGCGTCTATCTGTAAAAGCAAGCGGCGGAATGCTTGCAGCCGGAGCATCTGGTCGTCCGTGGCGGGCTCGAAGCGGTATTGCTTTGAACTGAGGCTCCGGAGGACGAGTTTCAGGGCTGTGTCCTCAAAACGCATATTATCATAACGCAGGAAAGGCTGTACCACGGACGTCAGCGTCTCGTCCGCTCCGGCATCAAGAAGCCACCGACCGATCCTCGGATACGCGCCCCAAGCGGCACGATAGAACAAGGTGCGGCCAGCCTCGTCACGGGTGTTGGCGTAATCGATCCGAGTCGTAGCCCGTTCCTGCTTCAAAAGGAACCTGACGGATGCCTCGCGGCCAAAGCCAGCCGCCGCGACGATGGCCTTGCCCCTATCCACTACTCCCGCATCCCTCAACATGGTCAGCACTCCTACGCGGTTATCCTGTGCGGCCATAAAGAGCGCATCCCTGCCGCGACTAGGGCCGCCGCATGCCTTCAGCCCGAGATTCAGCAGCTCTCGCACCACCGACTCGTGCCCGCGTTCCGACGCAGCGTCCAACGGCAAGCATACCCATTTAAGGCCATCCATCCTCGTGTTCATCGACCCTAGCGTTGGGTTTGCTTTAGCAGCAAGGAGCAGCTTGACCATGTCCACGTGCCCCCCTTGTGCAGCACGACACAACGCGGTTTCCTCGTTGGCCGAACGGGCGTCAACCTTTGCTCCCGCCGCGATGAACACTTTCGCGACGGCCAATTTTCCGTCCGTCGCAGCAAACATCAATGGTGTCATGCCATCCTCGTTCCCGGCATCCACATTGGCCCCGGCGTCGATCAGCATCTGAGCCACGTCTTGGCGTCCGGTCACGGTAGAACCGTGGAGGGCCGTATACATGGTGTCTGCCTCCACTGCGACGTTTGCCCCGGCTTGAAGGAGCATCCGGACGACTCGTGGGTAACCTCCCTAGGGGATAGATGCATCAAACGTGCGTAAGTAGCGCGTGGGGAAAAGCGAGCGGAGGAAGACTGCGAATGATTCATAAATCTGGGTTTGCGTTGACCAAAAAGCAACGCCATTGTACTTGAAGACGACACATGAGCTCGTCTGTTTACCTCTCGTACTCAGCGCTCAAAAGGGAAATGTACTCGCCCGCTTTTGGAAACGGGGTACTTTTCAAATATCGTTGCTTTCCCGGCAGTTGCTACGAAAAATGTGATGCAATGGATTGCCCTGAGTGGACCATACATAATCTTCCTCCCACAAGAAACACCACGAGATCTGTTTGGACTCTTACACTCTTTTTTAGATAGGAAAAATCAAGAATCGACGGGCGGGAAACCATGCTACCCGAAACGAGTCTCTCCGAGCGGAATGTTCGCGGAATGTTCAATACACCCGGGGGGGCGTCAATGACAGATTACCCATAGTCGGCAGTCCCGCCCTATCAGACCTTCACGAACACCGTTTACCACCTAACTACGACCAAGGCCTACTCCAAGCACCACCAACCCAGCACCTACCCACGTCGGGAACCAATACAGATAAAACACCCATCCAAGCAATACCAACCTGGAAAATAACACCACAACACCTAGATCCTATGTCGGCACACCAACCTAAACCATGTTCACCCAGTGCCAACCTAGCACCTATCGTGTGAGTTTGGGGTTAGGGTAAGGATTAGCGCTAGGTTCTTGGTCAGTTTCATGCCCCGGCCACCGCATACAAACTACTTCGTTTAGAAGTGAACGAATTGCGTTGATTGCAAATCAACTCGCTGCTAGTTGAAGGAACAGAAAAAACGCTCTGGTGCACATCGGGCAGGACGTAGGTTTGAGCCTGGGGACATGTTCATCCTAATTTTCTCCCTGTATGGAACACCGCTCGCCCAAATAGCCTAGTTAGTATCCTCGAAAACCTTCTGGTGGCCAAGGTCAGGGGTTCGAATCCAGGCGTATGCGAGCTTTTCTTGCAACGTGAGTTTCGCTTGCTTCCGTTCGTGGCCTGGGTGGCAAGCGCTAGTTCTTGTGTACACAGAGGGAAGAGAGTGCTGCACTCTTCTGGCACTAAACATCGAAGGCAAAGCACTGCAGGAGGGGTGGGTAGTGGGTAGTGGGCGTCAGGGAGAGGAAGCTTTCTGTGTGACCACGGGTTCGAGTAAACCGCACGAATGCTGCGAGCGCTGATTTGAATTGAAGACAAAAAAGAAGTGGAGAATTTTGCGCTTGGCTCATTTGCGTCCCTTGGGCAAAGTACGGGCGGGGAAGCTAGGCCCGTTTCTCGCAGACAGGTATATTGATGCACGCCTCAACCCAAAAAATGAAAAGCGCTGCCATCCCGCCGCTAGAGTACGCCGGAGAAGTATGGGGCAAACAAAAAAGGTACTTGTACAAAAGGGTTGGAGGGGCGCAGGTGCAAGCAGCGAAGATCGTATTCTAGGATGCTCCGTGCGCACAAACAAACGCACCCGTAAGGCCAGATATTGGGCTCCAATCCCTACGAACGGCAAGAGACTCAAGGAAAATGGCATAAAGTATGAAAGATACGGGAGAGGAATGTTGCTGAATATGAGCTTGCAAGGCGGTGTGGGCAAACAACGCGAGGGTAGACAACCCACAGAGTGGGTAAAGGTTGTAGAAGAAAGTATGGAGGAGTGTACGTTGGCAACGGAAAGCGTATAGGGGTTCAAGGAGCGGACATATCAGATGCGTTCGCGGACAGAGAACACCTCGATCTACGAAAAGAGGGAAACGGAGGGTACGAAAATCTACAGAATGATGAACGAAGGAATATGGTTGAAGGTATATATGTATATGGACCAATGGATGCAGGGACAAAGCTGAAGGTCAATTTAGGACTGGGGACATTGGCCTCGGAATACGTAGACGGAGATTTAGGAAGATCGACGAAAGAGGCAAGTTCAATCGTCAACGCGGCTCCGAGTGCGAAGACCGGCTTCATCTAATTGAAGATGTCCGTTTGAGAAAAGGAGAGAGAATGGGCCGCTAAACTGTTCTAGACTACAGAACGCGCCTGACGTTAAGAACTTGGCATTGAGCCTGAAAAACATCAAAGTCTAAGAACTTGAGCACCATTTGTGAGCTCGGTTATGAACCCCTACACAAAACCTACGACGTTCATAGCGGCCATTCGTAGCATGGCCCCCGGGAAATAAGAATCCTAGCCTCGGCCAAAACTAGGGTTCTTAGGTGCGGGCGCGTCCTGCATGTATACACGCACAACACGCAGCTATATATATACAAGGTCTCCCTTCGGGACGTGGGTGTCAAACCTCCCGCGGGTGACGCAAGACCACATGCGCATTCCCCGAAAAGGTTGTGTGTCATATTTTCGATGGGCGGTTTTAAAACGCTCTTATTCCGTGCTAAACATCGCCCATGTAGTTATTCTACATGTGAGCCAGCTCGAGCGGACAGCAACTTGCCAGCGAAAAATCAAACTTCTTCATTCTATGATGTCTTGTGATGATGGCAGATATCCAATGAGAACCGACGTTGAATCCGAAATAACACCACGAACAAAAACATGTTCAACACTGCGGGTGCATGCGCTAAGACTTCTCTACAGCAGCAGCGTTTCACTTGGCCGGCTGTGAAGTGTAAAAGAGCAAACGTAGGTACTGTTGGGCATTGCGATTCCACGAAGGGTCACAGCGATGTGGAATCAGGGAATGAATGAATGAATGTGGAGATGGCAACAAGTCCAAGAGGAAATATTTCAAACTAACTGTCGTTTTTGATTGGTTTCAGGATTTGTTCGCAAGGCTTTGTCTGCGCAGAACGCGCCCTTGGGGTATAGAGCCCGTTTTCGCAACTTTGACCGTCAACCACACGCGCCACGGAGGCCTACCGAGCTCCGGGAGAAGGTAAATGTACCGAAGAGCCTCCCGCATGCCCCTGAGAAGGAATCGCGAGAAAACACTCGCTGTCGCGCGAGAAAAAAATGCCGAAGCATGAAAAGTGACCAATTATTGTATGTACATGTGTCCCGTGACATTGCTGCTACACCCGAGGGTTCTCGTCACATTGTGCACATGCAGCACTACCGTCGTGTGCAGCAGCAGGAATCATGGTATTTCATGTAGACTAGATATTCCGCTTCCATGTTGATGTTCGGTAGGCATCGAACGCCATTCAGCCTTACCAAACCTTCTACAGGACTTCTACAGGAAGGAGGTACTGTAGCATCCTGTTCTTGTTTACTCGAGTTTATTTTATTTTTCAACAGATGTTTTTTGGTGACACTCCGTTGTTACCACACGCCCAGCGAGAGGTTCAGCAGTATGCAATGACAGAGAGCCGCGGGGTGTATCATAAAGGTGACAGAGAGAGCTGCATTCCTGGTCTGCAATTGCTTGATGTTTTTGTGTTTTGTTCTGCTGTTGTCGATTGCTATATGCATACTTGCTGTAGCACAGCAAACATGGAGCCTTGGTGAGGAAACAAATTGCAAAAACTCGACCATATACGACACTACTTCTATATTTGTAAAGGATTCTCTTTCAATTCCCGCCGTACTAACTTATGTGACACACAACCATCTCTATCACCGATACGAGTCTGGGATCAATTTTTGGCTCGTCTGGCAAGGATCCACTTTTTTGTCCCAGTGTAGTGGTCCTGGAGGATCCATTTTTGGTTCTCTCTCAGGAGGTTCAATTTGTTTGTTCCTCTGAGCAGTATCCATATGTACTCCCCAAACCTGAAAACCTGAACAACACAACAACAATGAATTAAAATAAACCCAAACAAAAAAAATATATATAGTCACATTGTGTCTCCTGAGAGACAGCCACAATAATACTATCATCAAGACAAGCCGCAGATTTGTGGTTCCTCTAGAGGGTTTTGCAGGGGGGCCGGTTGGCCACCCATGTAATGTACATATGGATCACCACACGCAGCGCTCAATACCTCGTCGTTTCTCTTACGCCCCATAACCCACTACTCGCAGTGCATATAAGAGATCGCATGTACTACCTGACGGTACTTGTACAATACTTGTGGCAGTTACGCAACTCTTCCCTCAGACTTCACCGCAACATCGCAAGAATAACACACGGACGCGAAGAACCAGTGGTTCGTGCGCATACCTGAGCGGCGTAGATGAGAGGTGTCGTGCCCGTTTCATCACCCTCGTTGATATCTATCTCCCCAGCCGAAACTCCGGTTTTGTGTTTAGCACAACAGCCATGTCCTTTATGCGAGAACTCTTGATCTCCTGAGAGCAGCGCCGCTGTATGCGGAATGCAACCGCTGCCTGCAGCGTTGTGCAACTCGTTCGTGGGGCCTCGAGGCCACTTTGGGGGGCGCACCGGCCCGTACACAGGCTTCATGGGCACAGCAGTTAGATATGGTATCCCCTTCTCAATCGCTCCCTCTCTTTACTGCCGTGTACTGATTTGGCTCGCACACTCGCACGAACCGCTGGCTCACCCACGTCTTGCTTGTGCGCTGCAGCCATGAAGAGCTAATGGCGGGGGGACTGTCATATTGCGCCCCCCCAGCATCCCAACATCTACGAAATCTACGCAGAGTGGTGCGAGCCAGCAGTACAAAACGGGAACGTGCCCCCCCCGTGCCCCGTGCCGGATGATTCTCACCTTCCTGCATTCCACGCCACTCTCGCTACTTCACCCACTCGCGCAAGCTTTCTCCTCTCTTCCCCTCTGTCTCCACGCCCTCTCTTCCCCTTGCCCCCTCTTGGTGCTCTAGTACAGCTTCCAGTACATGCGTCGGCGCGTCGGCGCTGTAGGCGTCACCATTTGAAATTCCGCCGCGTTTTGCGGTCTGTTTTGTTTTTATTATTCCTTAGTTCTGCCAAACGTCTACTGCTGCTGTACATGTGTTCCTGTTTTGCATGAAATGCACCGACCTTTCAGGTTTCATGGTGAAAATATTTGGTTTCCTCTGGCAGATACATACATAGAGGGCTGCGAATATGTAATGGGGGCCATCACCATGCGTTTGCTGGGGAAGAAGTTCAAAACTTCTCCGCAACAACAGCTGCACGACGTCTGTCTGTCTGTATCCTTTGTGGCGGCACGTGATGGATCGCTGTGCTACCTACATCTGGAGGATGCAGATAATACGACGCTTCACTCCATGGGCACCTCTTCGTGCCTGTTGGAGTGTTTCTGCTGCCCGACTGTGCGTTCCGGTACCCTCGGCAATCTCGGCTATGTAGGTCTCCGTACATGTGTTGGAAAGCACTCTGCTCTGCTGGTACTGCGGCTATAGAAACAAACAAACAAACATGGTACACAAACCCCCCCCCATTGTTCTTGACAGGAGTACAAACAGCAGAGTTCGACAGTTGTCATTGAATTTCGCATGTTACACAACAAACAATTCGGGTCGGAAACACAACAAGTCAAAAACCAGAAAAAAAAATTACTCAACCACAAACAGGAATTCCGTACACACACATCATCAACGCATTGTCTCTCGGAGGCGATTCCTGGATGAATTTCTCGTCTTCGGCTCAACGGGAAGAATGCACCCAACATGAAACATTTTTTTTTTTTTCAAAACCTTGATTGTCACACACAGTGCTCCTTCCAGCACAACATACACAGTATCTCTTGCAGACACAGTGAACACATGCGCGGGCTCTCACGAGGGGCCCCGCACTTGGAACCCCCAGCAGTATACCCCCACACACACACATTCTCTGCAGATCGGATCTTGTATCCAAGTACCCCAAACATCTTATTCCTTTGGACTGTCGCATCTTCCTGAGTCTCTTCTTTCTTATTTTCTTAATGTTTCAGGCTAAGAATACAACAAACCACCATGCATTCATGCAGCATTAACCAGAATGCTCGGTGTTGCCAACATTGCAGTACAGCAGCAGTGGGTAAAGCAGTCCGCGGAGGCGCGGAGTAGCCAGCGCGCTAGCGCGGAGGGAGGCGAGGGGGGCGCGACAAAAATCATTCTTCCCCCCCTACAAAAAAGACATTGTTCAGCTAGGTACAGATGGGGTGGGAGCACGGAAGGAGCAGCAGTGGGACGTTTCGTATTGGACACGCTACCCAGCAACCCTAGCTTCTTATGTGTTGGGGGTATCGCACAATCATGTTTCTTATTGGAACGTTTCTTGCGTTGTGGCCGAGAATGAGCTGTGGTTTCTTTTTTCTTGTTTTTCGTAAAAAATTGAGCCTTATTTTCTCAACGGATTTTTTCTTAATTTCGGGCCCGTACTGTATTGGAATTATCCGTCACGTCGACACCGAACGTTCACGAACAACGAAGAAGAAGCAGACGATGCTTGAAGCGAACGAGGGCTCAACAAAACGCTGTGCCCAAATTTTGATGTACGATGAAGTCTGGCGCCCGCAATTTGGAAATCTCAATATAGGGTTTAGGCTCAACTCCTCCATTGCAATCGTTACAATTGGCCATGTACGAGTGTATTATTGCTGATTTTCTTTAGAAGTCACTTTTTCTTTTTCTTCTGCGTCCGTCACCGTTCGCCTCTTCTTGTTGTCTCCCGCTCTAGAAACCTTGTGGAACCCCCGCCAGCTGTCAGAAAGCTATGTACGGTGTCAGGTCTTGCTGTCGCTTCGAGTCGACTATGTAGTCTCTCCCACATGCCCGCCAAAAGGAGCACCGAAGTCAAGAGACACGTAATAACAGGGCGATGGGGGGGCGCACCAACCAGCGTTTGTTTGCCCCCACTCCACGGTTGCCGCTAAATTTACCGTGGAGTTTTGCACGTTAGACTATGTACTGTTCATCTGTACCCGTGCATAGCAAAACATGTTGCCAGACCAACGTTGGCAGGAGAAGCAGAGATAGGCAGAGAGGTCGCATGGTCCCCGAAACAGAACACTACCAACGACAGACGAGGGGAGGGGGGAGTGTTTTGTTTCCCAGACGATGGGACGAAACGAAAACACACAAAAAAACAACACAACACACCGGGTCTGCTTGCCAAAGGCTGTGAGTCCTCTCGTGTCATAATTTTCAATGTTTACAGCACAGCCACCAGTATATTTGTTTTCGTAGTTCACCCCTCCCTCCCCTCCTGGCACCTACCTGTTGGCACCGGCTTTTCTACATGAAGCACATGTTTTTTTTTGTCTTTCCGGATGCGATGACCGCAGTTGCCAAGGCTCTGGCGGCTTCGGTATCTCAGTATCCCACCGGGGTGGGATATGTTTTTGTGCAAGTGTTTTTATGAAAAAACGCCACGCCGTCGTGACGTTGTGTTAATCCACAGGAGGAGAGCACACACTACGTGCTATGCGGCACGATAGATACTAGCCAACGGGCTCAGATACAGGAAAAAAAATGCCACCCCGTCGGGGTATCTCGTTCTACTATGCATTACGTACTTCTATCGCGCTATGCTCTCGTCGTCGACGGTCGTGTTTAGCTTCGAGTGTCACCCTCCCCACACCCTCCCCACGCTGTACACGCATGACCCCAGCGCATGATCAGCATGATCATACGTGCCTCATCAAGCCTTTGGAAACGAAAAAACACGGCAGCTATGTGTTGGGGCACTTTTTCTCCCCTCCACACGCAATCACACCGCCCTATCTCTGCATACACGCGCAGGTCTAACGCACTCACTCCCACAAGAAGGAAGGACTTGCGAATCCAGACAGACAGGCTGGGCGGGCACGCAACCAGCGCAGACCTACCAAAGCAACTGCACAACACATAGCAAAACCATCACAACAAGAACTAGGTATGGGAATATACTTCGTGTTCGTCCGAACGTTGCCGCATCGCCACCCGGGCGGCACACGCTAGACACAACAGCCCTCGGGGCGGTAAGCCTCGGTGCTTACAAACCCGGGGTACTGCTGTCCTTATGTTGTTTCTATTTTTCTTGTCACACTCCTCTTTATCCAGTGTCGCCGCCCGCGTTACTCTCGGCTGTGTCCGCTTTCATCTGGCCACGGTGAAAGAGGGAGAAACAGAGGGGAGGGGTTTGGGTACGGAGGCACCCCCGATCACCCCCAGACGCAGAAAAAAAAAACAGAAAAAACAACATCCGTGAGAAGCACACCTTATATTCTAGTATTAATGGTTTCCCGGGTGAGCACTGAAACTACTGTGTATGGATACGTTACCCCGGGTAGAAATAAGGGCCATCCCATACTAAAAAATAACATGGAATGGTAACTTGAAAAACACCAAATAACATCGGGGTAAATATGCACAAAACAACAGAAACGACTTGTAAGCCAGCGTACAAGGCAAGCTTAACCCCAGAAAAAACGCCACCACAAGATGGCATGGGGGACCCTCCAGCACAAAGCCGACAGAGGGTTGCGGCGCTCGGTGCGGCGTTTCTCAAGTGTTTCGACTACCCTCTCTGACGAGCGAGGGGTTAGTTGCATACCACCAGCTAGCACACCACCAGCTACGAAACAGTAGTGACGAAAACACACAACATTTTGTACACTTCCCACGCACACACATACCACGCACTACCGGCAAACACGACTCTCCCACCCTTTGGTTGCGGTATTGTAACGACAGCCGAAGAAAAGAGAGCAAAGAACAACCTGGGACGATGAAACCCGTCTAGAGCGCGAGACACGACCACGCGATACCGTACAGAACTACCTTCTCCAAAAATCGGACAAATCGATGACGACAGTAACTACCGTGACGACAACGACCGAAACGGTCATGTCCTACACCCATCCTTCCACCCACGCCACCCCACCTGAATGATGAGCGATCGCATCTTTTCGGTTGCCCTGAAAACCTCCTCCTCCTCCATCCCACTCTGCGCCGTGGCAGAGCCCTTGCGGCTGCCGCCGCCGCCTCCGCCTCCGGAAGCGCCAGCGCCAGCAGAGAAAGAGGATTTCGCAGATATGACCGGCTTCTTCAAATCTACGAGGTCGCATATCCTGGCCCAAGGGTTGGAAGTGGACTCCTCGATCGAGGCGGACACCCCTTTAAGGAACGTCTCCTCCTGTTCGCGGCTGCGGGCCTGCCTCCGCGCAACCTTCGAGGTAGGGCACGGGAAGGGGGCCAAGAGAGCGCACGCATTTGTAACGTCCGTTATGTTGCACGCGGCGCTTCAATTCAGACGTGAGAGGGTTCATATTATCTTCGGCCACAGCAGTTCTTGAGGCAGGGACCAGCAGCGGCAAACGTCCTACACAACACACGTGAGAGACGAAAAAAAAACATCATCACCTCGTCCGTGCGCCCGTCGTAAAATCCGTCTAGCTCCTCCTCCGCCAGGCGTTTCACCTCAGCCGCCTTGGCGGCCTCCTTTTCGGCCCTCTCCTTCACCACGGCGTCAAACTGGCTCTGTGCCTCCTCCATTACTCCGGCCGCCTCCTCGAGGCTGCAGGGGTCCGTAGGTTTCGGCTGGTACGGCGTCGACGACGCCTAAGAGAGACAGAGAGAGACCGCGGGGCATGGGGGTCGCGAATCGCCTGAGTTTTCTACCCAAACCCAAAACACCGTGCTCAGCCTAGAGTTGTCGGAAGGGGGGGCGGAGAGTACATAGCCCCACTCGCAACAATATGACTCACGGCGTGGCAGAAAAATTTTGAGTTTCGGCTTCTATAGGTCTCAGGGCTGCAATAATTTGGGGATAAAATGGTCCTGTTCTTCCCCCCGCCCTGCTCGAGTTAGCCCTGGGTGGGCGTGCTTTGTTGTGTTGCAGATGAATGCTGCCAAGGCACCGCATGACACTTTGATGGTGATGTTGTGCGTGGTGTCAGGAGATATCTCAACTCAAGGACCCGCAGCAGTGCGTGGTCTAAGACTGAAATAAAAAATTTGATGGGACAGCGAAACAACGCGTGGGCCAAACCATCAAAGATCTTAGTAACCAACGCTGAACTACATGTACAACAGAAACAAGCACCGTGCGGCCCTCTCGATCGGAGGCCACAAGTTTCCCCGACTGCTGTTTCATGCGTTTGCTGAGAAATTCTTGTTCTTACATGCTGGCTAGGTTGCCTCGGCGCAACATCGCGAGTGAGATAGGACAGGGAAACCAGTGGGAAATATGTAAGGGTAAACCGCATTGTCCAACACCCCCGCGGGGATCTATTGGTCTCGGGGCACTCGTTTCTTCGATGACCCAAACTCCCCCCGTCCTTGCTAGAGTTGGGCTCCGGGGCGTGTTTAGTACATGGCGCTTGGCGAATCCCGTCCCTGCCAGCCCTGAGCAGAGTACGGTATACAGGGTGACGTTTGTCTCCGTCGATCCCTTTCTGTCTCCAAATATCCCTCTCTCTATGCATCTCCTCTCTCTTTCTTCCGCGGTCTTCTCGCAGACGGACGCCACGGACGTCGCCTCCACCCATAGTAGGGGCGGATCGTTGCGGACCACCACAACCTCGGGGAAACATCGTTTTTCATGTCTCGTTCGCTCCCATGCATACAATGGCGTGCCGTAGCCACTACCGCAACGCTCACACAGCAGCAGCGGGTACTCCTCGACCCTTGTCCCCGTACACCCACCTGCAGCGGCACCCCCTCGAAATGGTCGCCCCCGCCTCCTCCGAGTCCGCCTCCTTCTCCGAGTCCTTCTCCTCCGCCGCCCCCACCTCCGAATTGCTCGCCGTCACCGACTACTCCAAACTGGTCTCCGCCGCCTCCCCCGCCGAGGTCGTACGCTGCGGTTTCCTGCATGCCGTACGCTACCGGCGGCGGTGAGCCCGCGTCAACAAAACCGGCAGACGCTGCCGCCCCGGGGTCCGCGGCCTCGCCGCTGCTGCCCCCGGTGGCGTCCGGGAAAAACGGGTCTGCGTACACAACATACATCCGCACGCCACAAATCATGTGTCAGCTATAAACGTTGCACGTTGGGTGTGTTTGCGAAGGGGGGGTAGACAGAAGCTGCAGCGAAGTTATACTTGGTTACACCGCGTGCGGCAATCGGCTATCGTCGGGAGGAGTAATGTTTTTCAAGGGAAAGCCCGATTTCCAACGCGCCATGGCGATCTAACGGAACACTGCTGGATCCGTGTTTACTGCACAACTTTGTGTTTCGCTAGGGCAGGAGACTAATAATTGACTACAGCCGCACGACAGATAAGTCGTGAGGATGAAATACACCGCAGTGCTGGTTGCCGTTGCGCGGTGCCAACGCCACTACTTACTGCTGACATGGCTTCAGAGGTCAATCCTGAACACATCCAAAGTTACGCCGACGAGAGCGGTCATGGTTGCGCGCACCTTCCCCCGACATGGCAAACAAACAAGCCCTGCCTCTCCTGTATCAGAAAGCCTGCCCCTCCGAACGCCCCACGAATTTGCGGGCGTGTGCTGGACCCGTGTGTGTGGCTGGGCGCCGTGGATGTCGGCGTTGTCCCCCTGGCTCAATAGAGAAACGTCGCACGCAGGTTACAGGTTAGCAACAGCCGTATGTGCGGAGAAGGGAGGCGAGAACAACGTACAGCGAACAAACGGAACAAAATGTTGCATGCATTTATGCATATGCATAAACAACGGAACGAAGCAGGTAAAGTGCAGGGTACAGCATTTGCTTGGAACGAAAAGCGAACCGCAATGAAAGTCCGCATCGCCGGTGCGCGTGCAACGCGGGAAAACCACTTGTATACTGTAGAACCGCCGCAATATCATGACCGAACCTCAGGGGTTTGTAAGAACTACTGCTGTAAGAACCTTGCCCGCGGCTACGTTTTGCAAACAGAGGAATCGATTCGAGGGATATCCAAAACTGCTGTGAAGCTACGCACGTCTAAGCGTCTGTAGCGGATTTTTACCACGTGTAAACGTGTAGACCCAGCTGTGCAATAGTTGAGTAGTGCCGTTGCATCCCTGTGTGCGCAACGATACAGCAGCGTCTTGCGTGCGGCGTTGCCTTTGCGCCTTTTTAACCGCGCGCGTGTTTTTCCGTCGCGTGTGCGCGACAACCGGGAATGACTACGGGAGTTTCACTTCTAGACGTTCCTGCTCTTGCATGCATACTCTCTGCCTTGTCAAAATTTGGCACGTCCCACAACCGGAGCCATGCTGTACTGGTATTATCGAGGTTTGGGGTGTTGTTGACACCGCGTGTGGGCGCTTGTGCCCTTCCGCAACTTTTCGGGATGATACAACGCTGAGAGCTGCTCTCTGCTGTTAAAGGTGGCCCAAGGGTGGGGATCCTTCCACACAGAAGCCAGCTGTTTTCACACGGAAACAACGACAAGAAACTCAACGCATTGCAGAATTGTTGCTGGAAAGTGGAAACTAGGTACTGCCGTAGTAGCGAGAGTCCCTCCGGGTGTGTCCTGGTCTTTTTATCCTTTGTCTGCTGTGTTCTTAGTTCTTAGACCTTCTCCGCGTGTTCTGGGGAGTAGCATCGCTCGGTTTGGGAAACAGGCACAGCAAACATAAGACCAATCAAGTCTCCTGTAAGCATCACTGTGTTGATGACCAGCGTGTCGCAGTTCTTCTCACCTCTTGATGGCCTGGAACCAAACCCGTGCCGCTCTCCTTTTGCCTCCCTGCCTTTGCCACTCTGCGGCTGTGCAATCTCGCCCCTCTCCTGGTCATACTGGATGAAAAAAAAAAAATGTAAAAAAAAAGCGAGCAACGACCCCACCGCCCCTTTTCGGAGATTTCGGAGATGCGCCGACTTCGTGTTTCGTGTGTGTTGCCCACATACCCACCGCCACAACAACAACGACAGCCTCTCTCGTTAAGCCGCAAGTATCATTCCGATGGAGTCTGAGCCACAGGTGAAACCATTGTTGTGTCTTGACTCTGGGAAATCAGGGATTGTAGTGTACAAAACTTGTTGTTCCCCACAGGTGTCGGGTGCCGCGCTCTCTATCTTTGTGCTGGGCAAAAGCTACACCGCAGGGTTGCATAATAGCATAGCATACAAATAACAGGACTGCTGCGTCGTCTGTTTGTCTCGCGCCTTGGCAGGCCGCCCAGCTGTGTAGCTACGCGCATAATGCGCTGCTCGGCAATGGCATACGTGTGTGGCACAACGCAGATAGAGCCAAGACGACAACAGCAGTCCGACACGATAATGGATGTATCTACAGTAGTACAGTTGAGTGGACATGCGAACGACGAGAGCGGATGAAAAGTCACCCCGTGCTGACTCCAGCAGACTCTGGTACAGCAGTCCAATGACTCACCCCACCGTTCGACACATGAGACACACGCACGAGGGATATAAGCACAGAGCGAGAACAGAAAGCATGGGCCGTGCACGCTGCTCCTACTTTGATGGAACTGCCCACAAATTGATGTCAACAGCGCCGTAGGCAAAAGAGCGCAGCACGTGCACCCGTGCGGGAGCGCGGACGACGCTGAGGGAACTGGCTCCATGCGGGAACTCTCTGGCGGCGGATTTGGCCAGGATTCCGCCGGGCTTCCACCAACTTGATGTCGTGTCCACGAGGGACACGGAACACGATATCACAGCAGTATTGACCTCGGCCAGCTTTGGCTGAGCTGCCTTGAGCTCCACGCAAGAATACGCTGAGCTATGCATAAATATGCAGACTTCCCGATGTACCGAGTTTCCCGACGTCTGTACCCTTCGTGTTCAGTTGGTTATTTTACGTCACAACCCGCTCGCCAGGACGTGAGTTGGCGAGTTGGCGCAGTCGCACGGATTTCTTACATCACGCGCAACAGAGTGGAGGACAAAAATTTCGTGGGTGATTCAGTTGATAGGTTCAAGAATCCTGTCTCACTCGTTAAACAACAGCAGTGAAGCGCCGGTTTGTGTACTCGCGGACAGGCGAAGTTGATTCAGTAATCTACTAAACGTGTAGCAATGTCACGCAGGGATTTGATCACGACTTTGATCATCCAGAAGTTTTCGGGGATACCTTGGGGGCATGGGGGCGAGCCGCTCTAAATTACAAAATCGCCAAAAAGTAACTCTTCAGCTCTCGAACTCGCTTCGCCTATCAAAACTTGTCAAACTCTCAAACCCATGTTCATCTACGAAAGCAATGATAACCGTGACGAATCTCTGGTATTACCGTTTACTTCCAAAACGTTCCATTGTAGGTCCTGGTGCGGAGCCTGGTGTTCATCGGCGGTGGCCATGCCCACGTGCACGCCCTCAAAATGATCGGGATGAACCCAATTCCCGGAGTGCAGGTGAGGAGTGAAGAGTAAATAAAAGCTCGCGCCGTGTAAACAGAGAGCCATAAAAGAAGTAGTTCCTCGAGTTTACGACATCTAGCATCTACAGTAAGTAGTTCGGCATGCATGATCATGCGTACCCCCCTCCCCGCCGTCGCTGACAAACTCCAGGTGACCCTGATAACGCGCGACGTGGACACTCCGTACTCGGGGATGCTCCCGGGGCACATCGCGGGACACTACACCAAGGAGGTGCCGAACAGACGTCAGGGGTAGGAACCGTAGTCGAGAGGGTACGGGGAGTGGAGACGAGGAGGAGGCGCGGGGGGGGGGGGGGGGGGGGGTCCCGTT